TGTTCAAGGCAACCCCACTGGACAACAAAGGTCGAAGCTTCACCGAAGGAACGCAAGCTGCTACCCCATGCGGCATTTCATGCGCTTGGTTGAGCAGTCTTTTGATCGCAAGTTCAAAAGATTATCAAATTCATCCCTTTCCGCTTCACATGCGTTAGCTTAGCATGCTGCATCTTCGGAGCAGAAAAAAACAGTGGCAGACTGCGTAGCCCCACTTTCAGCCAATTTTGGAGTGCCCGTAGAATTGGCCCCTGAATTCAACAGGAAGCTTTTCGCTTAGTGCAAATTAATAAGCACCATGGATGCCCCCTCCCATGTCCGATCCACCTCTGGGCAGCTGGGAACTCACCCCAAGTCTAACTTGCGAGGGGCCCATGCAACTTTGGCCGGGTTTCTCCGTGTGTGTGGCGTGCTGGACCCGCTCTGGCCGCTGGTCAGCACCTTGCGGGCATCAAGGTCCTGGGCAGGTTGGGCCATCGGACACCCATTAACTGGCGAATGCTCGCGCCTCCGGCCGCGGGGAGCCCTTCGGATCTTCGGATGTCGTTGTAGGGGTGGCCTGTCCTGCGAATTGCTGGCGCACTGACACATCTTCCAACAGAAGAAAGCAAGTGGGCCTGGGGGATAAAAGTAGAGGGCCTGGACAAAATTGAGAATTCTTCAATACACCCAAAGGCCCCAAAGGTTTGCTTTTAGAAGAAGTTTGTCTCCAGAACGCAACACAATTTGCAAAAAGCTTCGCCCTCTTGAGCCAAACCTGCTTTCAAAGCACAAAGCTAAACCAACCTTAAGTCCACCTTAAACCAACCCTAGCCCATCCCACCCGCCCTAAACCAATCCTAAACCAGCCCGAAACAAGCCCAAGCTGGCTTTAAACAACTCAAAAGGGCACCAAACGCTGCCCTAGACCCTAAAACAGCCCCAAATCAATTCGGAACCAACCGTGAAGCAAGCAGACAACCCACCGCCAACCCACCACCCCTAAACAAACCTTAACCCCAACCGACTGACATCCCACCATCACAAAGAAAAACGCCCAACCTAGGGAGAAGCAAGCCTGGGGCCCTACACCCAGAGATACATAATAAATTCAGAAGTCGTAATATCCTTCCAGGTTCTGCCATGCTTCTGTCACAATCGAAACTAGTTTTTGGGGAAAGCTAGGGTGCTTTGGCGTCTAAACATCTTCAGCTCGCAACCGCTCCCATCCCCGGCATCAAGCGCAGCAACCTCATTGGCCTAGCCTCAAACGTAGTCCCAAGCCAACAGCGCACCTTAAGAATAAAACATGAGCCGTGTTCAATAAGTTGCTCAACACGCAATTATCGAGCTTTTACAACCAACCAATCCTGTGATCCCAACAAATTCCAACACCAAAACGGTGAGCGCCGATTTAGGGGAGGCCATGCCCAGGTTTCTCCCCGAGACTCCCGACCCCGGGCCTAGCACTGGGTGGCTGGAACTGGCTGTATTGATGTAATCGAAGGCCTGCCCCTGGCCAGCCGCCAGCCAGGACACGCACACACACACACACACAAAGACTGGTGAACGGCCTGCGTATACATTTGTTACATATTATATATGTAATAGTAGCGGGAAGCGATCGTTTGGCGGCCGTGGAGTAAGGCTTCATTGTGTAAAGTGCCCGGCCTGCAAATGGTTTCGCAGCTCGAACTTGGCTTGGATCGCAGCGATCCTTTGCAAGACAATCGCGTGGCCAGCATGGTCCTGTACAGTAGGGAGACACCCCAAGGCTGGCATCATAATGGAACCCTATGGCATTTCTACCGTTGTCAAACCTAATTACAAGGTTGGGCTTGGCTCGCAAGGCGGGCAACAGTCGGCAACCCACATCCTGCCCAGGAAACGAGGGTTGAAACCATATGTTACATTGGTAACTCATGCCACTTGGCCACAGCCGAACATTCCTCAAAGCCTGCGAGGCCTTTCCTTCAGAACCGATCCCCGCAGCCGAACTCGTGGCGAAACATGGTCTAAACAGCGCAAAACAGCAAGCGCATATATTGAAAACATCAAAGCAGCCTGCAGCAAATTGCCGGTGTGGAAAGAGCAGGTGACAAGAAGAAAAGCAGCACGAAAGCAAATGCCAATTGAAACTCATGTGTGTAGCACAAAGACCAATCTTAACACCCCCCTAAACAATGCCGCAACAAGTCTGGCGTGTTTCTACGCAATGCGCCGATGTGTTTCGCTCTTTGATTCTTTTGTCTGTGCTTGGCTACTGCTTCCGGGAAGCTGCTCTTCGAACTGGATACGCTGGTCACGAAGCTTGGAGGCCTCAGGCTCTGCATGGCCGTGTATTCGGCTCAGACTTTGCTGGAGGTTTCTCTCGTAAGCAAACTGTCCGTCCGCCAAATATCCTCAAAGCTCCTGAGTTACCTAACAAATACATCTACCCGCCGAAAACCAGCTTCTGGATGGGCAAGGCTTGAAACTTCTGGGGCTGACGGCAACTTGTGCCTCTTTCGTATGCACACTCTGAGCGATTGGCAAGAAAGCCACCAACTGTCCAAAGAACGTGTGCTCTCTACCAGGCAATTGACACTTGGGCTTGTCATAGCAAGCCGCTGAGTGGCTATTGGCAGACCTTTGGCTCCTCACCCTTCCGCTCATCAAGAAGGTGGCGCAGAAGCTTCAAAGCACACATTGTCCGGTTTGTAGCAGGGTCGCGTGCTGGATAAACCAACGCGGAAAACAAGAAACGCTGGTTTCCAATGATCATGTGCTCGTGTTTCAGTTTCTCCTAAGCGACACCTGCTCGAGTTGCCTTGCCTGGTGTATACACAAATTGGCTGGCCCCTAGTTCTCTTTTGTGAGCTACGTTGTTGGCTGCAAGGCTTGAGGATTGGGCTTTCAGACGCAGCCGGCGAGATTCCTACAGTTTGCGTGCCTCGGCAAATGGGACTCACTGAACTGCGCTTCATCCTTAGGCTCCGCACGTTCTCGCGGAAAAGGTCCTAAGCGATGACCCCCGCATGCACTTGCTGCCAGTGGTGAAAGTAAGTCGGTCAGATACGGGCGATACCAACATCGCGACGGAACTATGTGATGTCAAGACATTTGCAAAGATTCGGAAACCCCATGCTGTCCTCATGTCATCTGCATGTAACTACATGCATTCCCGCAACAAGTGGCCTTCAGGAAGCCTGGGACGTGGAAATAGCTCATGAGCCGCTCCCAATTCCAAGCCAGCTGATTGAGAACAGCATCAACTTTAGCAGGCCTTGCGCAATTGACTGCCATTCAGACACATAGGGGCCTAGCTTTTGCTGCCTGGCATTCAAAAACAAGGGATGCCTCAAATGACTAGATCTGTGCTATGGTCATCTTCGCATGGACTAAATCGGGTCTCTCGCATTGACACAAGCGCGCAAACACGCACGCCCACCCACACACACACACAAACACCAAAAGCATAAACACGGACGACAACATCATACACAGACACACACACACACAGACACACAGAGACACAGAGACACAGAGACACAAACACACAGAGACACAGAGACACAAACACACGGAAACGCACAAAGCAACACGCAAACTTGAATACCCTCATTTCTAAATAATCATTGCTGACATACATCTTGCACCTGGCTGCGTACCTCTGCAGAGCAAAGGCTCGTCCAGTTGTAAATGATACTGCACCTCTTTCACCTCCAACTTGCCAACCAGGATGTTGCGCTCTTCCTGGCCCGTTCGTTCTCGCATCCGTCCAAGGCTGAAGGTAAGCTGTTGGAAATGCAGAACATAGATTTAAATTCAGCAGAGGTTTTAACCAGTGTCCTCTCTCTCTCTCTCTCACTAAGACGTCGAACAACATCCACCAGTTCATGGGGGGTGCATTTGATATAAGATACACACCACCGGAAAAATAGGCCCCCCAATGAGCCAACTTGTTCTTGGTACCCCTGCTTCCCACGAACCGATGGCAAAGCAGACCAAGCTTGCCAAGCCACCAGCAAAGGAGGACTCACAAAATCCATTAGAAGGGAGACGGAGCCTGTGGCAAATTAGCTGCTGGGAAGCCGCCTTTCATTCGCGCCGGACATGGCTTCAAAATGCCGCGAACTTAACCTCTCGGCCTGCAGGTCTTTCACGCGCTGCTCCAGGAACTCCATGGATGTCTCAGGTTGAGGATCCTTCGCTTCACTTGGTTCCACCTGCCGAAAGCCAACCGCCAACGCGTGACTCCGAAAGCTGGGCCAGTATTACGTGACGTGTCGCCTGTTCCTGCACATGCCGGACCCTGCAACGACAAGATGTTGTTAGCCCAAAGCAAAGTCTAAAACAAACATGAGGGCGGGCTTTTGGCCTCGTCAGGCTGCACGCAAAGGCCTTGAATGCGACAAACACCCGCGTGAGCTGCTCTAATTGGCCGCGACTGAACAAACACAAGCACACACACACCCATCCACCCACCCACCCACCCACCCACCCACCCACCCACCCACCCACCCACCCACCCACCCACCCACTCACCCAACCAACGCACGCACGCACGCACGCACGCACGCACGCACGCACGCACGCACGCACGCACGCACGGGACAAGAGCCAGCAAGCCAGCCAGCAAGCAAGCAAAACCTCCGAGCGAGCGAGCGAGCGATCGAACAAACGAACACGACCGACAGACAAACAGACAGGCAGGCAGACAGACAAACAAAAAGAAACAAAGAAACAAAAAGCCCAAAAACAACAAAACGGAATCAAAGCAAAGAAGCAAGAAAAGACAGGCACACAGAGAATAGAAACAAATGAAGAAATGAACAATCAACCAACAAACACACAAGAAAGAAAGAAAGAAAGAAAGAAAGAAAGAAAGAAAGAAAGAAAGAAAGAAAGAAAGAAAGAAAGAAAGAAAGGAAGAAAGCAAGAAAGAAAGAAAGAAAGAAAATTAAAGAAAGATAGAAAGAAAAAGAAAGAAAAAGAAAGAAAGAAAGAAAGAAAGAAGGAAGGAAAGAAATACAGAAAGAAAAGAAAAGAAAGAAACGAAAGAAAAGAAGGAAACGACAGAAAAGAAAAGACCGAAAGGAAAGAAAAGAAAAGAAATATAGAAAGAAAGAAAAAGAAAGAAAAAAAGAAAGAAAGAAAGAAAGAAAGACAGAAAGAAAGACAGAAAGACAGAAAGACTGAAAGACAGAAAGAAAGAAAGAAAGCAAGCAAGCAAGCAAGAAAGAAAGAAAGAAAGAAAGAAAGAAAGAAGCAGGCAGGCAGGCAGGCAGGCAGGCAGCAGGCTGGCAGGCAGGCAGGCATGAAAAGCGATAGCACCAAGCACTCCCTGTTTTGGCCTTTGACAGCGGCGGTATGTTACCGGACTCGATTGCGCTGTAGTGCAGCATGAACCTCCTGGACGCGTGAAGGCTGCCACCTTCAGCGGCCACCTCACCGTTTCAAGCGTGCAAGGCCAAATTGCGCTCGGTCTCACTGTGCACCAAGCTCATGGAGCACATCAGCTCTTGAATTCTCGGCCATTCCAGGTACTTAGTGCCAGCGTCTGCTTGGTTCACCTTCGTACCCGTTTTCTTCAAGCGGCTCTCTCAGTGTTGCACCTTCTGCTTGCAACCACAAATAGCAAGGTTGTATGTGCTTGGCCTCCCCATGGCCCTTCCTCGCAAGCATCGCTTTCGCTGCAGATGCGTCAAATGCCAGTGCGGCCGTTATTGTCAAACCAAGATCAGCTGCCATAGAAACTGCTCCCAGTAAAACTGATCCAGCCTTGATACCAGCATAAAACTCCGACTCTCCAGACAAATGCAAGTCTGTGCTGCTTGCTCAAATAACACTTGATCAGATGAGCACCTCTCACCAATGCCCCGCACGAAGTTGACTTCCGCGTCTCGTGACAGACAGCATCATCGCCGTCCGTATGCATAATTAACTCAATGGCCTTTTTCTTGGTCTTCATACAACCAGACCAACCTTGGTCAGCCCTTAAAGAATCTAGCAAGCCTCTTCAGGTCCATTCTGTCGCACTGGACATCTGTCTGGCCAGTTCCTTGCATGCATAGGCAATGTCCGGGTGATCCAGGGCCAGCACATCTCATCACCAAACTGCGATATTGTCTGACACTCTCACCTGTCAAAGACTTCTTGTCCCCCGTCTCTGTTCTTGGTGTTCGATGGGTAGATACTGCACGACCGTCATTCAGATGCAACTCATTAAGCAATATTTGCACATGCCGCGGGTCCGCCTCGTACGTCGTTCCAGTCTGCGAATAACGCACCAGGAGATTCAAGATCACAACGTCCTGGGTCAGATTCCTCGCCCGACGAGGTAATGTCATCTCCATGAATTGAAGTGCGAATTTCCCTCAATGCATGATAGAAAAGCACTGGGCTAATCTCGGAGCAAATCCGCATCCGCTGAAAAAGTCTGCGAACTCAGCTTCCTAAGAGGCTGCGGCATCGTGAGCGTCGTACATCGCCCGATTCAGTCTTGCACAATATCCAGGTCGACGTCGCTCCGGACGCAATCTCACATAATGTTGACCTACGACGAGAAAATATACCATAAATAATGCCCACCGATTTCCCGAAAAAATAATAAATGTACCATGAATAATGCTAACCGATTTTTCCCAGGGGAAACATATGGAAAAATACAAAATAATATAAACTAATTCAAAAAATAACCTTCCCCCCACATGAATGAATGAATCCTGAGTTCCCCAGCTCACAAAAGAACCTAGAATTCCCATTGGGATCCATGCAAAATGCAGATTTTTATTCAGGGTCAGTGCTCCCAACCCTCATCCCCCATGGAATTTGCATGGTTTCACAGTGAATTTATCCAGGGATCATGCAGGGATCCCTTTCTTTAAAATTCCTTTTAAAAAGCCATCAAAATCAACACATTGACCCTGGCAGCAAGGGTACCCCCCATGAACCCTGAGGCACTAAATAATAGCCAGACCATGAATAATGCTAACCAGATTCCCCCATCAAAAAAATATATCTGATCCCCTTATCTTTATTCATGGTCAAGCTTTCCATTCCACTTGGCTCATCCCACGCTTGATTCTAGATGTATCCCAAATCCACAAACTTATGGGATCCCATTCTTTTAAAATTCCTTTTAACAAACCATCAAACTCAACACATTGTCCCTGGCAGCAAGAGTACCCCCCATGAACCCTGAGGCACTAAATAATAACCAGACCATGAATAATGCTAACCAGATTCTTCCTGGAATAACCAAAAGTTCTTGGCTCAATACTACTTTCGAATTGGCCCAATTCTAAACTAGTATTCCCCCAAAGCAAAATAAGAAAAAACAACATGCCCAATACTACTTTTGAATTGGCCCAATTCTAAAGCAGTATTCGAAAACCGAAAATCTGAGCCCAATACTAAACTCCTTTAAACAAGGCCCGACCCTGAAAATTCCCCCCTAATCTTTATTTATGGTCATTCAGGGGGGGGCCTATTTATTAATCATAGGTCAACATTAAATCAATCTCGCCACTTTGGCACACCAATGCGCTCTCTTGATGTCAATAAACATCACCTTCAGCTTATTCCGGTTCGACCGTTGCAGCGACAAAAGAAATCTGATGCTGTCCAACGGCGGTGTAGCTGCGACAAGAGCTTCCTGCGCCCCATTGCGAGCTTCCTTTACAACAAGCCTGCTGCGATAATTTGGGTTGTCTTCACCCCCCTTGTTTATGTCAATCCAACGTGCGCCAATTGGTCCAGCACCCGTCCGACCCCAGGCCTCCTGGGTCTCCACCTCTGTCCACACACAGCACTTGCCGGACAACTCCTCTTGTCGCGCTTCCATCACCTTTGCAGCGTTCAGCGGCTTTCTCGAAACCTCATCCACATAACTCTGCAAGTCATCCTCAGCATTCATATCCAGATCAGGTTCTTGATTGACCGGCCCAAGCTCCAGCGAATATTTCCCGGGTATATTTGGGCTTGAGCTGCTCAGTTGCACATGCCGGTGCATCTTCGGTCCAGCGTCTTGATAATATAACATGGTCTTGATGTTCATGCGCCCTGAACCAAAATCCACAGGTGTGGATGACCATGCACATAATCCAGGAAAGTGAAGACCTCCTCACGGATCTCGTGGTGCCTGCTGTACCTTGCGGCATTCATCTCCAAATGCTCCTTGAGCTTGGCCGGGCACATCGCCACTATCGTTGCCATCTTCAGCGATTCCGAAACCACATCCGCCCCCGGCTTGGAGTCGTATTCCACGATCCTATTCTCCCACGCAATGATCTCTGATGATAACTGCGCCAGCAAACGGATTCCGGTGGGTTTGTCAGCTCGCTGTCGGCCTATCGTCAGCGGCGGGTTGAACCGCGCCTGCAACAACCGAAATGCGTCTAATCCGTTCGGTCTCTTCGCCTGCCGCCGGCAGTGTACGTGGCAAGGCAGTGTGTTCCGCCAAGGTCCTGTCCAGGCAAAATGATGCTTCCAGCGGCACCAGGTCGAGAACGCCCTCGGTTCGCCTCGCGGGCTTTCCTGTCAGACTCCTCCAACCGATCCGCCGCCGCGTTCCCCACGTGCTGTCGGAGCTCCAGCACCGAGCACTCCTGTTTTAGCTCTTGACAGCTGCGGTACGTTACACTTCTCGAATTGCGCTGTCGTGCACCATGAACTCATGCAAGGCAGGCAGGCAGGCAAGCAAGCAGGCAAGCAAGCAAGCAAGCCCGCGCTGCAAACAAACGTGCTCCTGACAGGGATGTTTTGAACTTCCCTGAACTTCCCTACTTGCCACGCTGCCCGCCCAATAGAATTCCTTGTCACCAACGTGGGGTTTTGTGCAAAGTCGATTTAATGCTTGGCCTGGATGGCCGAAAGCTCTTCCGCAGTTCTGCCAATAATAGTCAGTTGCGGCGGCGTTGCAAATCGATTTCCGCGAGATCTCCAGGCCTTCTTCCGAATGCAAGCTCCTGTGGCATTGACTGCGCCATAGGCAACGGCCTGATTTCGAACGGTTGCTGCGGCCTTGACCAGCTGTCTGTAGGCGATCTGCTTGAAGCTCAGCATGCTGGAGAATTGAGCAATCTAACCGTGGTGGGTTTCGCAGAGAGATTGGTGCTATTTCCAGGACTGGTGAAGTGCTCGCTTTTGGCTGTAGATGACGTTAACGTGTGCTGGCTCATTGGTCGACAGGGCTCTTGCTCGTCGACGACCCGGTCGCGGCTGACCCCGATGAGTCTTCGGTATCCTCCAGCGGCTCATCGGCGGTTTCTCCTTTCCACAAGTTGATCATTGGCACGCTGGCCTGTGAAGAAAGTCTCCAGTTGTCTTCAAGAGCATCTCGCCATCTTCGTCGTACGTCCACTGCTGATCACTTTCTTCACTTCTGTTGGAGTGAATAGCGCCTTCCTTGGAATAACGTGGGCACGGCTAAGTGGTCGAGAATCCTGCTGTCCTGCGGTCCTGCTTCTCTGATCCAATAACCTTTGGAATTGCTTTGCTTCCTTTGGGGCTTCCGTGGATTTATATGCACACGCAATCTTGGTGACCAGTGAACGTTCATGCTTTCGTCATCGTCGTAAACATAGTGACTGCGGCTCTTGGGAGTAACTGCTCCATGCTTCTTTTACAAAGATCAACAAGAGCGTGTTCGGCGTGCCCTCGCAGGTGATCTTGTCGTCGCAGGTTCCGCATTTGTCCAACACTCAGAAGTACAGGCACTGTGCCCTGCTCCAGGGTGCCGATGTTGGCTCTCGCCTATCAGCTGCTTATCGATCTTGTAGGCTTGTTGTCCTGGATCGCATAGGTCACGGGCGCCATTCGCCGGTGCTTGCTTAGGTTCATCTGATTGACCAATCTTACTCGTTGGTGGTCTGTGAGCTCGCTCTGGATGATGACAGACTGGGCTGTCAAGCTGTCACTGAATGGCAATGAGTCCATTCCTGTCATTCTTTCAATGTATATCCTCAACATTTCTGGATCATGAGGATCTGCCCCGGGCGGCGCCCCAGCTGATTGCTCCGAAATAGAATCTCGCACTTGGAAATGAAATTGAGGAAGGAATTGTTGCTTTTCCGAAGATTGAAGAACCGGAGCAGTTGATAGAGATACACATTCGTGTTTCCCAAGAAGAAGAACTTCCTGAGCCTGTTCATGAATTAATTGGCTCCTTCTGCGCGGTTGGGCATCTCGTTGTCCAGCAATCGCGGTACATCAGCGCTTCTCCACTTGGCCTGCTTTTGAGAAGTGGGCCACATTCTGCTGCTTCTGCAGATGCGATGTTCAGCCACTCACCAGTAAGTCCCTCATATCGAAACCAGCGAACGCGTCCATCAAAAAATGGTGGCAACTTGACTGCTATTGCAAAAGAGGACAACGTCGTCAGATGAAGAGATGGTTCCTGAAGTCTATGTCAGATCTGGCAGAGAGATAGGACAGCCGGAGTAGAGGATGTCGAGGAATACTTGGACACTCTGGCTTCCCCCCTTGTGTAGAAGGAATTCTATCTGTTGAGAGCACTCAGCAAGTGCATGAAAAGACCTCTTTGCCAGCAGTGACCACCGTGCGCTAGCGAAGCTTGTGACAAAATGTGTTTGCGTTGCACGCATGTTTCAGCACACATGGCAACCTCGCCAGCAATGAATTGCTTTTTCTGGCGGAGCCCCGTGGATTTGCAACGCGCAGCTGCATTGGGGAACTTACACCCTGACAAAACCCTATATCATGTCTGTATATTGCTGCTTCGTTGCCTGCGGTTGGCGGAAGGGAGGTTAACTGCCATGCAACAGCGCCACCCAGAAATCGGACCAATGCCTCGGCAGCTGTGCCGCCACCTTTCTTCTTCTCCAGGGCCAACTGCAGCTTCAGCGAGTTCAACTCCTGCTGGTGGCCTGGGCGGCAAACACTAAAATCAGATACATTCACAAGCCACCTCGAAAGCAGCAGGTGGTGCTTTTATGACTGACCCTATGTATCCTGTTGATCCTGAAAATGATTAACGAGTTCAAGGGGCACAACGCCAACTCGCAAGCGTCCGCTAGGCCTGCAAGTCCCAGGCTGTCATTTCACCTGGTTTGCCCCAGTGAAACTTGTGCCTGACCGTTGGCTGGGGACTGGCGTTTGCCTTGGGACTTGTAGGCCTCTGGCCGAACAGCTTCTGAAAAGCATCAAGCATCAGTTCTCTTTGGCAGTGTTGAAATTTCTCGGCCAGTTCCATCTGACAAGGTAACCTCACAGTTCGTGAGTGGCTTGCAGCTTTCCAACATCTCCTTGGGATCTCTCCACATGGACCCTCGGGATCTCACACTTCACACCCTTGGGGGACTGCCTCACTGCGGACGGCACAAACATCACTGGCTTTGACTGCACCCACGCAACTACAAGGCATGGTTCGCTTTTATATCTCTCACAAGCTAGTGCAGGAACCTAACAGAAACGCATGCTACTGAATGAAACCCAGTACCCCCCAGTTTCCATGGGGAAACTGTGGCCGTTAGCAGCACGCTTGTTCAACAACCTCCCCTTCCAAGAAAAAACAACCACCAAATGGAAACATAATATTGGAGGTGTGGGTTGGGTGTGCTTTGACTTGAGACCGAGCTGATTGATCCTCGCGCCGGGCAGCGCACAGCTTCATTCTGATGCTGCTGCAATGCATCCTGCAAGCGCATGCCTCGGCTTTCGAGGCGAGGCGAGCCATGGCTCGCGAGTGGAGGGCGAACATCGAGGTTGCAGCCGAATTTATCAGGAAAAACTAGAAATGTGGTTGTGGTTGGGGGGCGGACTTAAAAAGCTTTAAAAGCAACACTAGTTATGACTATAGATAATTAACTTTAACTACTTGAGATTATTTTGCCCCTTGCGTTACCTTCACCACAACCGGTGACAACATGAAACACTCAGACAAAGTATCAACAGTGTAAAATGGCAGAGGTTGAAGTAGAACATGACAGGAGGCCCGTAGGCATCTGAAGACTGCCTGCCCGAAATCCAATTGTCCTGCTTGGCCTTTTCAGCCAGGGCGTCGATGAGCTCGGATTGACAGATGATATAACGGAGGCTTAAGAAAGATCACCGAACATATTACACGCAAATAACCTTGTGGGTTCCTCGATAAACCAGATCATCTAGATCCCAGGTTGGATAGGTGCAATGCTCAGCTGGACCAATGTTTGCAGTGATCCCTGCGTGTTTCCACTTGCAGCTCGGCCACTGGTAATGCGTAGAGCCTGTGAGAGAGTTGCATGCCACAGCCGTTCACCGAATCGAATCGAGAATCATTGCCGATGCGAACATCGCCGTGGCAACAACGAAGAACACAGAGGATCCAAAAGGTGCAGGTGAAATTCGGGAAATCAAAGCCAGCCTAAGCCCTACATCGCGCCTCGGTCTGCATCTGCAGCTTTTCTTCCAATGCGCTTTTGTTGAACTCATGCTCACGTGCGAAGCGCCATTGCTCCTTGCAAGCCAGGGGCTTGTGTGTTTGCCTTACTCTGCACTCGGATGCAACTCCTCTCTCATTCCACTGCCTTTACGCCAGCGCCCGCGCCCTGGTAATCAAAAATGAATGGCTAGGCTCCGGCAATGTGAACCTGGGCTCCGAACATCATTTTTTTGAGAAAATGGAGCTTGCGAAGTTGCCAGCAATCTCGGCACTACAGCGACAACCCTTGGCATTACTTTGAATAAGGATGCATACATGATCAACCTTCACTGCCAAGTCAGAAAACTGTGACTGTGATCCTCCGACAAGGACCCAGTAAAATTCTCAGGGGGAAGTGACCAATATTTCAGGAAACTCACCAACAATTATGAAACTGTAAGCGGGCAAGCGACCAAAGAGTATCAAACTTGTCCCTTCAATTTCTCTCGCACTCTCCCTATGGGCCTGCACCATGGCCCTCTGGTCGCAAAGTAATTCCTCCAGATCCCCTCAGCAAACAGTGAACTGCCACTTGCTGAGTCACCTGTATTTGTCGTTTTCTGGAGAAAATCATTCCATTTCCGGTTTCCAGTGGTAATAGCTTTCCTTTGACATCAACAGGGGAACACAAGAACTGATATGCATTCTGAAGCAAATGGAAGTTCAAGAGGTTCATGCACAAGCAGAATGCTGGGAGTAGCTGTTTCTTCAGCCATGTCTGCCTGTGTCCCTCAAACACACAAATCGTGAGGCAGTGAAGCAACTCGGGCGGCATGGGCAGGCGAAATGCTTCTTCATTTCACGCAATGGGCTCCAAGAGCAATAGTGACTTTGGCGGAAGGATCGGCAACTATAGAATAAATTCCGAAAGATAAGGGGTCCACAAGAAAACACCCTCCATCATGGTGCTCCTTTTACCCTAGAGGAGCTCCTGTCTGAGGCGCGCACTGACTTTCACTTGAAGTCCGTCCACCTGCCTTAGGTTCTGCACGCGGTTCTCGCTGTCTAGCCTCAGTCTCACGTCAGGCACCCTTGCCTTGGTCAGGAAAGGGCTGCATCATAACTCCCTTGTTGCAAATGCCAAATGCAATGCCGAGCTACGTCTGGAGCGAGATTCTTATGAGTGCCGTTCTTAAAAAAAAAAAAAGTGTTTCATTATTGATCGTTTGGAGACGGCTTCTTACTGCGTTGCAGGCTCCTTTCAGCAATGAATGCCAGCAAAGGGACCATTGCAACTTCTTGGAAAGAAATCTCAACAAACGTGAAGGCATGCAAACACTGCAGTTTTCAGGGCACTTACAGTATCGTGTCTGATCGCTCTGCTTTCCGACAGCTTCCATGCTAGATCTGGACAGTGCATCCCCTAGCAAACAGCCGATGTGAGAAGGGAGGCAGCAAGTTGACACCAACATTCCTAAACGAAACACAACAGTGACGAGCCAGCTATGCTGCAGCGTTGAATGCGGAATTGCAGGCGCAAGTTAAGCAGCGATTGGGGTCCGTCCGTCGGTACCTTTGCCACAACCACAATTCAATCAAATCAGGCATTGTGCCCGCTTTCCATCCACCTTGAGACCCTCTGCTTGGCAATTGAAATCTGGATTTCCAAAATTGAAAAGTCCGCGCAGCTGCATTGTTTGAAGATGTCTGCATCATGCTCTCCACAAAGACGTCCTGATGTTGGCACACAGGGTTGTGACGCCAGCACCAGCTGCATGTCACGCCACAGGTGGCCACTGCTGCAAAGAAGTCGATGTGCTGATCACGTGCCAAACAAATAACATAATGTAACAGCTCGGTGGTGGCACTGCAGCGATACGCTAAAGTAACACCAAAGACAGGCGCAAGGACGCACAACAACGATCCACCATGGCCCGCGCTGCTCTGTGAGCAAGCATCACCAGCACCCGACATCCTTCCAACCTTCGCAAATGGCCCGTAGCCCTCCGGACATAGCGGGGATGCTTGCGAGCAACCGCGCTGGGTTCACGCGAAAATACTATGCTTAGCCATTTTCCCACTGTTTTGGCGGGCGCGCCGGGGATGCGGACTTTGCCGCATTGGTTTTGTCTAGAAAACGGTTTGGATGTGTTTTTTGTGGTTCCACCCCTGTATAAGGTTAAGAGAGTACTAAAAGAGTACTAAAAAAGGACCAACAGGGGGAAGAACAGGTGAAATCCACAAAAGGCGCATCCAAAACGGTTTCTAGATTTTGATGCGCATGCGCTCGCTGACCTGAGTAACCTGTGCAACCAACCAGCCTAGCGATGGTGTCGAAGCCCTAGGATAATAACAAGAAAAACACATTATCAGACATCATTATCATCGGCGCCGCCGTCGTCGTCGTCGTCATTGTCACCGCCAGTGTTACCGTTGCCACGGTATGTTGCCTTCGCCGTCATCATCATCATAATGGTCATCATCATAGTCATCATGATGATCATCGTCATCCCCATCCTCCTTCATCCCCCCGACAATTGTATATGTGAGTTAATGCCAGGCCAGCATTTTGTCCCACCATGCTGCATTCCTTGACCCCCACGCAGCCAAGGCAGCAAGGTGACCCAGAGGCTTGCGATGTTTTTTCTGGGCAAGAAAGGGTCCATGGGTTTGTCTCCAAACTGGGGACTTATGTTGGACACATGCAGCCTTCAGACTTCAGAGTGGAGAAAACACAATCCCAAACCACACTCAAACATACGCTTTAGTGGGTCGTCATCAAGCCATTGCTGATGTAGGCGCGGGTAATGGGAAACCCATGTTGCGATTTGCAGGGATGACTTTGTCCTACATGGGTGTCTTTTGTGAAGTTTAAAGAAAAGTCAGAGGGAACAACAGTTGTCCATTCCAAGGGGCGATTTCAAGCGTTGGTTCTCTGCCGCAGTCTTCTCTTGCAGCAAGCTGGACTCTGTCATCTGCTGGCGCAATTGCTCAATCCTCGTCGGGCAAATCTGCTTGGAGAATCCCAGATAACAGAAATTTGGTAGAAGGATACATCGAACAAACACATTTGCAAGGGAACCTCTAAATTGTCCAGTGAAGTCGACTTTTAAGGAACTCTAGTTCACTCCTCGACTTTGGTGCCCATGAAGTGGTCACCGGCAGGATCCCTCTGCAACTTGTAAGAAATATGAACTGCTTAATTTGAAACTGGAGTCATCCAACAACCTCTGATCGCAGTAAACGTCTTTGCACAAGGGCGTACAGGCGTACGGCACACGCTGGACTTTCCCAATGTCGCCTTCACATGGGATGACAGGATGCTGACATTTTGATTGTGTAGCGACTTGGGGCTATCGCATGTTCTTTGGGGGGGGGAGCTTCCTTCGCGATTCCAAGCGTTTCCTGCTCAAAAGTGTCTGGAGAACGGTTTCAAGAGTCAGTGAGCTGCCTGAAGCCATGCCACTGCAATGATCGAGCAACAAGCTGCATGACATATATCATGATCTGGCCACAATGGCATGAGTTGGCCAGCAGGCTCACAAACCGCCATTCTTCGCGGCAAAAGGATTTCAGATTAATTCTTGGACTCCTGAACCACATCCTTTGCCAAACAACATGCTTGCCTGGTGGTTCTCAGCATGGGCAACGTGTGGTTTCACTCGAAACAGTGCCCGAGATGCCCAACCCTTCTGTGCCAGGTATCTGTTCGTTGTGCTCTGCGCTTTGGCCCGCTTGCTCGGCACGCAGGCTTTGTTTGAGATTCCGCTCGTTCGAAAGCTCCAAGAGCAGCTTGTTGACCGCGTCCAGCCTAGCCAAAGGAACGCATGAGAATCTGACAAACGTTGGGTACAAGATATGCTAGTGTGCGCTGGCCTGTCTAAAGGACAGGCAAGAATCAAGCGTACCGATTCAGCAACACTTGGCTGGCCATATTCTGCAGCAGGCAACTGGCACATATGAACAGATCTAACAATTGCATTGGCATATCCTTACTGTTTCCCAACTGTGAAATAATATGTCATAGGCATCCCTTGTATGCCCGCTTGGCTGTCACTGCCTGCCTGGATGTGTCGAATTGGTTTTCCTGCCGTTTTCTTTTAGCTACTGAAAGGTGCCATCCCGTTCTCTCAGGCCATGCCACTGAGCCGTGGTGTCTGGCAATGAAGTTCCGCAATCATCAACATCGTTGTCACCACAATCGCTGCTGACACATTCGCTGGCCCAATCCTCCTGATCCTTGGCAAAGCGAAGGCGTGCCGGGTGTTGAACATGGGTTCCGGAGAAACTTTGAAAAATCAGCGTCTTGTTCCCTTCGGGGAAATGAGCAGTGATGGGCTGCCCATTTGGTACTTCGGTCCGCAGACTGCCGCACAGCTGTGGACGTTACAGTCCTAGTGATCCACGTCTGCTGGTGGCTGAGGCGTATCACGTCCCAAAATGAGCCTCTTTAAATGTTGAAGCCTGCCTCGCGCAAAGCGGATCCAGGTGAAACCCTGTAATGGCTTAAAACCATCCGGAAAAAAAGAGAGGAAAAAACGGACGTACCCAGATGTACCCAGTATCATCCCTTGACATTGCCGATTGACACCTTAAGCCTGTCGCCTACGTTGGCAATCAAATCAGTTTTGGCACTCTCAGTGACACTGTGATTCCATTTACTCGCCAAGAAAACCAGGGAATTACCGCGAACCACCCTTTAAAACCCCAAAGGGAAATAGCTGGCTACCAAAGGGATGCAGCTGGCACTGCTTAAATCTGCTTGAGGCCCTGTGAAGGCAACATCACACCACCACATGCCATTGACCAACGCACCTGAGGCTCTGGATGCCCTCTCTTCTCCGAAACTTATCGAACAACAACCGCTTCCCTGGTGTCGCACCGTCAGGCAGTGTCTTCAGAAGGAAAACTGGTGAGACAAGTTGCCACGCTCTTTGAATCTGGCAAATCATCATTGTCATCCTGGCCGACTTGCAACTGGACCCCACAGAACCCAGCGGCACGGAATGACTAGGGCGTTGCTTCTTCACATTGGGCAACAATAAGTCATGTCAATCTGCAGAAGGGCATAGCAACCGTGGCCTATACAGCTGGTCAGCCAGACGTTCCGAGACGCTAAGCACGGACAAGTGGAAATGTAAGACCACGATGCCGCATTATAAAACCAACGCCATGTCTTTGAAATGCACATATCCAAGGCCTCTTCCGTCGTAGCGTTTCCATCCGTGCATTGCCCCACAAAATGTGGGTCATGGTACAGCGCATCTCTAGGTCAGCTTGTAAATCGGAAAAAAACAAACTGTCCACATTCAACACAAGCTGTTTTAGCTGATTGCTTTCCTGGGCATCCAGGAAGTAGGGCATGCATTGGGTATGCAGACTCCATGTCGCTCCTCCTCATCGATGATCTCCAAAAACTTCCTGGAGCTGCGTCCACGGCCTTTGCGCCCCCTGCCTGCGAGCAACTTTCATGCCAAACGCCACCAACAAGGTGATTGTAAATTGCACAACCCCCTTTTGTCCGTAGTGATGCTACCCTGCACAAAAACAAGGCTGGCCATGGTTTCAAGAAAAACAAACATAACCCTGCCACTAATCGGAAACTTGGACTGCTTCACAGACTTCACTTTCCGTCCCCTGCGGTGTCCGGGCCCCGAGTGCCTCGCCCACGGAGGCTGGAAGTGGTTTCAGCCTCGGCGGGACTATTTGTGTCACAAAAGAGGGACCCCGACACAAATAGGTTTTCCACATTGGTTGCAATAAAAACCAACCTCTGAACCCTCAAAAAAGACACACTTCTACGTGCAGTATGAAAATGTTGAATGTGATAAACGTAGATGTGACATAAACGCAATATGTACTTATGCAGCTGTGAGCACATATGTACAAAACCTGCATATACGCATACCTGTGATGAATGCGCGATGATCTAATTGAATATTCATGTTTCGTCAGCCATAAGAGGCAACATGCATCCTGCCCCCACAAGAGCCATCCCACAGTTTGAATCACGCCATGGCCATCAGCTCCAAGACTGGCCCCTAACCAGGTCTATCCTCGTGCAACCCCTAGGAAAAGATTGGGCCATGTCCGGCAGGCCAAGAACCACACGTTGCCACAAGAATGCACTGTGCCCTGCCTTCTTCCTCTCGTTCTCCCGCTTCAAGCCAAGCAGTTCCAGCCTGATGCTGCTCATCTCCTTATTGTTGTGCTGCTTCTCCTCGCCAGGGCAAAGGCCACTCCTCTTACCTACCTTCCCGATACAGTCAGCCACTTGGACATCTGGAAAGACAGAAATTGCGCTTCAAGTTCAAAACCGGTTTCCGCCCTTCCCCCCGGTGAGGCCTACACAGGCTCGCGCGGTCAATTTGGGATGCCGGGAAGCTTCTTCTTATGATGAACTTAAAATGGCGTGACAATTGACCGTCCCACGGTTGCCACACGGTTTGCACTTGTTTGGCCTTTGACGCGCAAACTGTTGTCTGGCTGTATCTGTGGGCACCCGAAAATGATTCCTGGTGAAGAGGGATCGGAAAATCTATACGAGTGGGCCAAACACTCGAAAAGCGGAGAGCTCCTGCTCGAGCGCATGAATCTCCTCCCGCAGGCCTAGCTCCTTCTCCTGAAAGGCTCAAACCCAAAAAACCGCCGTTGAAGCTCCTGTCTCTAACTGAGCCTAGGGGCCAGGGATCTAATTATCGGGCCATGGTTCTGTGGCCCAATTTGGCCATGGGAGATGGCCGGACTGGTGCAGGACATCCTGTAAGCGAGCTTTTCACAGAAGGCTCACGCCATAAACCTTAAGAGGCCATGCAGCCGACGTCTCCAACGTGCTTGTTGCACGACAGCCCCTTGATACCCTGGGTCACGTGCCAGCATGTCATTGACAAATTATGAGGGGTTATTGAAAAGTAAAACACGCCATACGCAAGGTTCCTTCTGGGGAGACACAACACAAACCCGGGTTGCCTACAAGGCATGAGCTACACGGGGAGACACAACACAAACCCGGGTTGCCTACAAGGCATGAGCTACACTCTCCGCATCTCCGCAACCAATTCCCAAAGGCAAGGGTGAAGAACAAAGCCCAACTGCTACGCACCACAAACATGTCTTGGCACAACTGACGTGATAGTCGATGCGTTTTTATGGACAGCGCTAGCCGCTGAGCATCTGCAAGCCATTTGAACGGTAAGAAAATTGCAAGATTGATATGGTTTAATGTGCTGCAAGACTTTTGCCACCAACAGTGCCTTGGTTGGTCTTAGGCCCACACCAAGCGTTGCTTGTTGGTTAAGGGCTGAAAAGTAAAAGGTCATACTTGAAGAGCAACGAAGCTACCATGGGCATGTAACCTATCCGGCAAGTCCGGGCTCATTCGGTCGTGCCTCATCTTTGCTAAGGCCGGCGCATTCTGGCGGCCGAGATCTGTCAGGCCCTCAGCCAAGTTGATGGGTTGCTCACCACAGTCACAATATACGTGAAGCAACACAGGGAGTCTTTGCGATTCATGTTTGCGGGTGCTGTCTTTGAAACACTCCCCCTGGTGCCGTGGATCCACCGAGGTGACCAAAGCATTGAAACTCTGCTGTATTCTAGGCTGTCCCAGGCAATGCGGCCGTTTTTGTGCCAACACCATCAATGATACGCACATTTCCAGGCGTCAGTGGCAAGCCCACCCATCTCGAGGCTGGCTCAAGTGAAAAGTTACCAAAGGAAGTTTAGAAGGAACTTCCGTGTTCCGGCAACTGATTGAAAGCGAGCACAAGAGAAGGAATAGGCATGCGGGAACAGAATATAGCGCGCGCGTATGTATAAAACGTGCCACCCTCTCCGGGTTTGCTGCTTTGGGATGCTCGAAAGTTAGCCTGATCGCGGCGACTGGTTGGAGCAGCCCACGTTCGGCGCCGGGCCCGTTGGCACGGCAACGCGAAGGTTTCGCAAGGTTTGAATTGCGTGGCAGGCAGGCGCAGCACTTTGGCAAGGGCAGGTGCAGACTTCATGGGAGATGCCTCACTTTTGCAAGGTCATGTGCAGATTTTGTGGCATGCGCAGCACTTTCGCAAGGTCAAGTACAGATTTTGTGGCATGGCAAGAAAGATACTGTAGATCAATAGATATAGATAGATACATAGACAAATAGTACGTAGACAACTGGGTAGGCAGCGAAAGACAGAGAGCAAGACAAAGCACAGGACAGAGACAAAGAACAAAAAGCGAAAACAGGCAAGAAGGAATCAAAGAAAAGAAAGAAAAGGATCCACGAATCAAAGCACAAAATAAAGAAGGACATAAATAATGAAAACAATAGACACTAAGAGATAAGAAAAGAACAACTGAAAAACAAAAAACAAGCAAAAACAAATAAACCAAATAAAACACATGAACCAGGACAACGAACAAGAAGAGACAAAGTAAGAATAAAAAAAACAAAAAAACTATAGTTGTTGAACGTTTGAGACTTCCGCCCACCGGCTCCGCCGGCTCCACTTGTATAACCTTCAAAATGAAGCAAAGGTCTCACTTCCCCCTTTGGGCATGGGTGTGCAGAGTTAACCTGCTGGCCCTGAGAATCGACCATAAGGATTGAAGGTGAGAGATACCAATGGTCCACCCCAGGGTCCTGGTGCATGGGTCTGGTGCTGCGACGCAGCTCCTCAAAAAAAAACAGGATAAACCGGACCCACAAGTGCCCGAGGGCTGGTTTCATGCTCGGACCAGTCGACTTCATGTGTTCCGGCAAGCGACAAAGAGTCTCATTGGCTTCATCTGCCTCATGGGAAAAAAGCCTGAGTGAGCAAAGTCTGGACTTTATCATTGCCCAGTAGACTCAATGCCACTCTGAATATGTGTCTGGATGTTGAGCATGGGTTCAGATCAACTCCGCAAACGTTGCGCGCTCTGCGGGTATGGCAGCAGCAACGCAAGCTAGCTCATAAACCCAACATGCTTGCGTACGTATACACAAGCAGTGTGCCAAAGCCAAGGACACGTTCAACGTTGACCTTCAGGTTGCCTTTTGCAGCCATCGAAAGCATGCCCTATGTGAACATACCTTAGCCGTTTGGTGTAGCGTCAAATGGAACGGCAAGTCGTGGCTTGCAGCTGAGGGGCAGCATCTAGACCTGGCGGATTAGCAAACGAGGTGCACTTTGCCAAGCCCGGCATTTCAGATTGGACCGCACCCTGCGTCCTTCTCCGAAAATGGACCACGTGAAGGAGGCCGAACCAGATCAGCATGGGCATGATTTGCTCACAGCGGTTCGACTGCTTCCCAGCAACATGCATTTTCATGTCGGGTTCGATCATGTTCGCTCCACTGGACCAACATCACAGACGGCGGCACTGCCATTTCTTACCAATCTGTGGCTTGCGCCCGCAAAGGACACAAGCACCTCACATGGTATGGGAAAATACAAAAACGGTTTGCAACATGGACCCAAGACTGGGGGTGGTTAAGATGACCATTGCCCCCTGGTTGCATGACGAACTTTCGGAGAGCGTCCAGTGGCTTTGGTTCGATGGTTTCACATGGCCAGCCCGGCGTGTTGACAAGATGTGTGGCTCCCATCCGTTTGCCACGCGTCCCAAGCCGGAGGTGTGCACTCATGGCCTGACTGGATTGGGGAGTTGTGTTTGCGCATTCATTCCACAGCCCCTTACAATAGCCTTTAAAACATCAAAAGATCAGCCAAGTGGAATTATACCTGCGTTGTCTGAAGGACCCCAAGTGGAGGCATGTCACCAAACCAACAGCCAACAACAACCAGTCGAAGGCTCATCACATTCTCTCTGCAAATCTTTGAGCCCTGTCATTGTCATGTCGAGTTGTCTGAATGTTGAGAGCGCGAAATAAGAGCGGAAAACTTTTAGCCACTAAGAGCGGAAAACTGAAAGCCACTAAGAGCGGAAAACTGAAAGCAACTAAGAGCGGAAAAAAAAAGAACTAGTAGTGCTACTACTGGAATCCGGATTTCGGGGCCCGAAAAGCGGATTCCCTTTCTCCGGGGACCAGAAACAAAATCCGGATTTCGAGGTGCTGGCGGGCAATGGGGCCCAAAAGCGGATTCCCTTTCTCCGGGGCCAGACCAGAAAGGGAATCCGGATTTCGAGGTGCTGGCGGGCAATGGGGCCCAAAAGCGGATTCCCTTTCTCCGGGGCCAGACCAGAAAAAAAAATCCGGATTTCGAGGCGCTGGCAGGCAATGGGGCCCAAAAGCGGATTCCCTTTCTGACCAGAAAGGGGATCCGGATTTCGAGGTGCTGGCGGGCAATGGGGCCCAAAAAGCGACCAGAAAGGGAATCCGGATTTCGAGGTGCTGGCGGGCAATGGGGCCCGAAAAGCGGATTCCCTTTCTCCGGGGTCAGACCAGAAAGGGAATCCGGATTTCGAGGTGCTGGCGAATATGGGGCCCGAAAAGCGGATTCCCTTTCTCCGAGGCCAGACCAGAAAGGGAATCCGGATTTTGAGGTGCTGGCGGGCAATGGAGCCCAAAAAGCGGATTCCCTTTTTTGCGGGGCCAGACCAAAAAGGGAATCCGGATTTCGAGGTGCTGGCGGGCAATGGGGCCCAAAAACGGATTCCTTTTCTCTGGGGCCAGACCAGAAAGGGAATCCGGATTCGAGGTGCTGGAGGTGCTGGCGGGCAATGGGGCCCGAAAAGCGGATTCCCTTTTCTCCGGGGCCAGACCAGAAAGGGAATCCGGATTTCGAGGTGCTGGCGGGCAATGGGGCCCGAAAACGGATTCCCTTTTCTCCGGGGCCAGACCAGAAAGGGAATCCGGATTTCGAGGTGCTGGCGGCCAATGGGGCCCGAAAAACAGATTCCCTTTCTCCGGGGAGAAAGCGAATCTGGATTTCGAGGTGCTGGTGGGCATGGGGCCCGAAAAGCGGATTCCCTTTCTCCGGGGAGAGACCAGAAAAGGGAATCCGGATTTCGAGGGCGGGCAGTGGGGCCCGAAAAGCGGATTCCCTTTCTCTGGGCAATGGGGCCCGAAAAGCGGATTTCGAGGTGCTGGCGGGCAATGGGGCCCGAAAAGCGGATTCCCTTTCCCTGACAGAATCCGGATTTCGAGGTGCTGGCGAGCAATGGGGCCCGAAAAGCGGATTCCTTTTCTCCGGGGCCAGGCCAGAAAGGGAATCCGGATTTCGAGGTGCTGGCGGGCAATGGGGCACGAAAAGCAATGGGGCCCGAAAAGCGGACTCCCGTTCTCCGAGGACCAGAAAGGAAATTCGGATTTCGAGGTGCTGATTCCCTTTCTCCGGGGCCAGAAAGCTTCCCGACCGAGCGATGTCCCTGAGCGGCGTCAGCAGGGGCTCGACGGCAGCTGGTGACGCTCTCCGGCACGGGTGGACTAGCGCATAGCAGGACTCCGTAGCTCAATCGGAAGAGGCATCGCAGCTCTGAAGCTTGGGGGGCGCGGGCTCGATTCTACCCTGTTGCATGCTATGCGCGGGCAATGGGGCCCGAAAAGCGGATTCCCTTTCTCCGGGGCCAGAACAGAAAGGGAATCCGGATTTCGAGGTGCTGGCGGGCAATGGGGCCCGAAAAGCGGATTCCCTTTCTCCGGACCAGACCAGAATTCCCTTTCTCCGGGGCCAGACCAGAAAAGGGAATCCGGATTTCGAGGTGCTGGCGGGCAATGGAGCCCGAAAAGCGGATTCCCTTTCTCCGGGGCCAGGCCGAGGTGCTGGCGGGCAAGCGGATTCCCAGACCAGAAAAGGAATCCGGATTTCGAGGTGCTGGCGGGCAATGGGGCTCGAAAAGCGGATTCCCTTTCTCCGGGGACCAGAAAGGGAATCCGGATTTCGAATTGCTGGCGGGCATGGGGCCCGAAAAGCGGATTCCCTTTCTCCGGGGCTAGACCAGAAAGGGAATCCGGATTTCGAGGTGCTGGCGGGCAATGGGGCCCGAACGCGGTGCTGGCAGGCAATGGGGCCCGAAAAGCGGATTCCCTTTCTCCGGGGCCAGATTAGAAAGGGAATCCGGATTTCGAGGTGCTGGCGGGCAATTCCCTTTCTCCGGGGCCAGACCAGAAAAGAAATCCGGATTTCGAGGTGCTGGCGGACAATGCATGGGGCCCGAAACGGGTTCCCCAGACCAGAAAGAGAATCCGGATTTTCGGGCAATGAGGCCCGAAAAACGGATTCCTTTTCTCCGGGGCCAGACCAGAAAGGGAATCCGGATTTCGAGAAGCGGATTCCCTTTCTCCGAGGCCAGACCAGAAAGGGAATCCGGATTTCGAGGCTGGCGGGCAATGGGGCCCGAAAAGCGGATTTCATTTCTCCGGGGGCAGACCAGAAAGGGAATCCGGATTTCGAGGTGCTGGCGGGCAATGGGGCCCAAAAAGCGACCAGAAAGGGAATCCGGATTTCGAGGCGCTGGCGGGCAATGGGGCCCGAAAAGCGGATTCCCTTTCTCCGGGGTCAGACCAGAAAGGGAATCCGGATTTCGAGGTGGGGCCCGAGAAGGGGCCAGACCAGAAAGGGAATCTGGACCTCGAGGTGCTGGCAGGCAATGGGGCCCGAAAAGCGGATTCCCTTTCTCCGGGCCAGACCAGAAAGGGAATCCGGATTTCGAGGTGCTGGCGGGCAATGGGGCCCGCAAAGCGGATTCCCTCCGAACCAGAAAGGGAATCCGGATTTCGAGGTGCTGGCGGGCAATGGCCCGAAAAGCGGATTCCCTTTCTCCGGGGCCAGACCAGAAAGGGAATCCGGATTTCGAGGTGCTGGCGGGCAATGGGGCCCGCAAAGCGGATTCCCTCCGAAAAGAAAGGGAATCCGGATTTCGAGGTGCTGGCGGGCATTGGCCCAAAAAGCGGATTCCCTTTCTCCGGGGCCAGACCAGAAGGGAATCCGGATTTCGAGGTGCTGGCGAGCAATGCTGGCGGGCAATGGCCCGAAAAGCGGATTCCCTTTCTCCGGGGCCAGACAAGAAAGGGAGGATTTCGAGGTGCTGGCGGGCAATGGGGCCCGAAATGCGGATTCCCTTTCTCCGGGGCCAGACCAGAAAGGGAATCCGGATTTCGAGGTGCTGGCGGGCAATGGGGCCCGAAAAGCGGATTCCCTTTCTCCGGGCCAGACCAGAAAGGGAATCCGGATTTTGAGGTGCTGGCGGGCAATGGGGCCCGAAAAGCGGATTCCCTTTTTTGCGGGGCCGGACCAGAAAGGGAATCCGGATTTCGAGGTGCTTGCCCCGAAAAGTGGATTCCCTTTCTCCGGGGCCAGACCAGAAAGGGAATCCGGATTTCGAGGTGCTGGCGGGCAATGGGGCCCGAAAACGGATTCCCTTTTTCCGGGGCCAGACCAGAAAGGGAATCCGGATTTCGAGGTGCTGGCGGGCAATGGGGCCCAAAAAGCGGATTCCCTTTCTCCAACGGGGCCAGACCAGAAAGGGAATCCGGATTCGAGGTGCTGGCGGGCAATGGGGCCCGAAAAGCGGATTCCCTTTCTCCGAGGCCAGACCAGAAAGGGAATCCGGATTTCGAGGTGCTGGCGGGCAATGGGGCCCGAAAAGCGGATCTCGTTCTCCGGGGCCAGACCAGAAAAGCGGATTCCCTTTCTCCGGGGCCAGACCAGAAACGGAATCCGGATTTCGAGGTGCTGGCGGGCAATGGGGCCCAAAAGCGGATTCCCTTTCTCCAACGGGGCCAGACCAGAAAGGGAATCCGGATTCGAGGTGCTGGCGGGCAATGGGGCCCAGCGGATTCCCTTTCTCCGAGGCCAGACCAGAAAGGGATCCGGATTTCGAGGTGCTGGCGGGCAATGGGGCCCAAAAAGCGGATGCCCTTTCTCCGGGGCCAGACCAGAAAGGGAATCCGGATTTCGAGGTGCTGGCGGGCATGGGGCCCGAAAAGCAGATTCCCTTTCTCCGGGGGAGAGACCAGAAAAGCAATCCAAATTTCGAGGTGCTGGCGGGCAATGGGGCCCAAAAAGCGGATTCCCTTTCTCCGGGGAGAGACCAGAAAAGGGAATCCGGATTTCGAGGTGCTGGCGGGCAATGGGGCCCGAAAAGCGGATTCCTTTTCTCCGGGGCCAGACCAGAAAAGGAATCCGGATTTCGAGGTGCTGGCGGGCAGTGGGGCCCGAAAAGCGGATTCCCTTTCTCTGGGCAATGGGGCCCGAAAAGCGGATTCCCTTTCTCCGAGGACCAGAATGGGAATTCGGATTTCGAGGTGCTGGTGGGCAATGGGGCCCGAAAAGCGGATTCCCTTTCTCCGAGGACCAGAATGGGAATTCGGATTTCGAGGTGCTGGTGGGCATGGGGCCCGAAAAGCGGATTCCCTTTCCCTGACAGAATCCGATTTCGAGGTGCTGGCGAGCAATGGGGCCCGAAAAGCGGATTCTTTTCTCCGGGGCCAGACCAGAAAGGGAATCCGGATTTCGAGGTGCTGGCGGGCAATGGGGCCCGAAAAGCGGATTCCCTTTCTCCGGAATCCGGATTTCGAGGTGCTGGCGGGCAATGGGGCCCGAAAAGCGGATTCCCTTTCTCCGGGGCCAGAAAGCTTCCCGACCGAGCGCGTGCCCAAGATGTCCCTGAGCGGCGTCAGCACCCGTTCAGGCGACCTGGCTTGGTTCACCTTCAAGGGGCTCGACGGACGTGTTCATCCAGCTGGTGAGTCTCGGTGCTGGACTAGCGCATAGCAGGACTCCGTAGCTCAATCGGAAGAGGCATCGCAGCTCTGAAGCTTGGGGGGCGCGGGCTCGATTCTACCCTATTGCATGCTATGCGCGGGCAGAACAGAAAGGGAATCCGGATTTCGAGGTGCTGGCGGGCAATGGGGCTCGAAAAGCGGATTCCCTTTCTCCGGACCAGACCAGAATTCCCTTTCTCCGGGGCCAGACCAGAAAGGGAATCCGGATTTCGAGGTGCTGGCGGGAAATGGGGCCCGAACGCGGTGCTGGCAGGCAATGGGGCCCGAAAAGCGGACAGCACCTCGAAATCCGGATTTCTTTTCTGGTCTGGCCCCAGAGAAACGGAATCCGCTTTTCGGGCCCCATTGCCCGCCAGCACCTCGAAATCCGGATTCCCTTGCTGGTCCCCGCAGAAAGGGAATCCGCTTTTCCGCCAGCACCTCGAAATCCGGATTCCCTTTCTGGTCTGGCCCCGGAAATCCGCTTTTCGGCGGACAATGCATGGGGCCCGAAACGGGTTCCCCAGACCAGAAAGGGAATCCGGATTTCGGGCAATGAGGCCCGAAAAGCGGATTCCTTTTCTCCGGGGCCAGACCAGAAAGGGAATCCGGATTTCGAGGTGCTGCAATGGGGCCCGAAAAGCGGATTCCCTTTCTCCGGGCGCAGACCAGAAAGGGAATCCGGATTTCGAGGTGCTGGCGGGCAATGGGGCCCGAAAAGCGGATTCCCTTTCTCCGGGGCCAGACCAGAAAGGGAATCCGGATTTCGAGGTGCTGGCGGGCAATGGGGCCCGAAAAGGGGCCAGACCAGAAAGGGAATCAGGCAATGGGGCCCGAAAAGCGGATTCCCTTTCTACTACTACTACTACTATTATTAGTATTACTACTATTACTACTACGACTACTATTACTACTACTATTATTACTACTACTACTACTACTATTACTACTACTACTATTACTATTACTACTATTACTACTATTACTACTACTATTACTACTACTATTACTACTACTACTACTACTACTACTACTACTACTACTACTATTACTACTACTACTATTACTATTACTACTACTACTACTACTACTACTACTACTACTATTACTATTACTATTATTACTACTACTACTACTACTATTTCTACTACTACTACTACTATTACTACTACTACTATTACTATTACTACTATTACTACTATTACTACTACTATTACTACTACTATTACTACTACTACTACTATTACTACTACTACTACTACTACTACTATTACTATTACTATTATTACTACTACTACTACTACTACTACTATTACTACTACTACTACTACAATTATTATTATTACTAATACTACTACTATTACTACTACTGTTATTACTATTATTACTATTACTATTACTATTACTATTATTATTACTATTACTACTACTACTACTATTACTACTACTACTATTATTACTATTACTACTACTACTATTACTACTACTAGTATTATTATTACTACTACTATTATTACTACTAGTACTACTACTATTACTACTACTACTACTATTACTATTACTATTATTACTACTACTACTACTATTATTACTACTACTACTACTATTACTACTACTACTACTACTACTATTATTACTATTACTACTACTACTATTACTACTACTATTACTACTAGTATTACTTCTACTACTACTACTACTACTACTACTACTACTACTACTATTATTAATATTACTACTATTACTACTATTATTAGTATTACTACTTTTACTACTACTACTACTATTATTAGTATTACTACTATTACTACTACTACTACTACTATTACTACTACTACTACTACTACTACTACTACTATTACTACTACTACTACTACTATTACTACTACTACTATTACTAGAACTATTACTTTTTCCGCTCTTAGTATCCTTCTTTTCCGCTCTTAGTATCCCTCTTTTCCGCTCTTTAGTGTCTCATTTTCCGCTCTTAGTTAGAACTCTTCTTCCCCTACGCCTTGTTGCAAGCCAGGTAGCCTCAAGCCCGAACCGCTGAACGCAGGTGACCGCATGCCGCGCCTGAGGACGAAGAGCTGGACGGCTTGGTGGGCTTCTTGTAGGCTGCGCTGAGTCGCGAGTTGCTTTCTTTTAAGGCCTTTTCCAAGCTCAGGATGCCTTGGCTTTCGCGACCAGAGCATGCATCCTCCTGATTCACAACACACGCATTTAGCCTCCCCACATGAAATGCCAATCCGTGATAAGCCTCCCCGAAAACATTTCAGGCCAACGGGCGGGCATGATTTGGGTGCAACACCCACGAGTTGAAGAAGTTGGGAACACAGACTTTCCGTTCGCTTGCCCTGTTTCTGTGTACCCTCCTTCAAACTAGCATGGACCCCAAAATCCCGTGACCTCCGTTTTGGGGACCGCCGGTTTTGGGTTTCCATGATGTTCCATGACAACTTTTATGTGAAAAGCTCCGGCTATCTCCTCAACCTGAGAGAGCGGTTACGGCAGGCTGCGATCATCGGAGATTGTCTTCATGGCGTAGGAGTGGGCCACATCCTCAGCATCCAATCTCACCGAGTGACCCTGAAATGGATTTGTTTTGCAAAGGGGACCACCACTGCTTCAGCTGGGCATTGTTGCGAAGGGGCTGTTGCCGATAGAAAAAACAAACAACTATGCATGTCAGCTGTCGCCCCGTGCATTGTGGGCGGCTCCATGTTTGGCTTTCGGCTTTCTTGCATGATGCCTCTGATCGAGGCATTCAGCCACTGTCAATGCGAAACAAGCACCTTGAATGCTATGTCAAAAAAACACGCCCCATTCACACTGAGGTTGCTTCAAGTGTTTTGCCGTTCCCTCTTTGCGAGGGGCCAAGGCTTGTACCCTCGAAAAACACAATGAACAAGCAAGACGTGAGCCAACGTTTCAAACCGCCCAACTCGACACCGGTCAACCGGTCAACGTCGAGGCTTAGTCGAGGCGTCAAGCTCCCAGGACTTGACGCGGTTGTCCAAGTCCTGAGGCCAAGCAAGCCTTCGAGCCCAGTGCCTCGATCTCACCCCGGTGAACGGGATCCAACTCACAAATTTTCCCAAACAAAGGTGAACATGGCGTTCGGATCGCGGCAGCCAACACCCTTTTTTTTTAGCCCAGACCCTGCTTAGAACCATTGGGTTTCGGACTTTGCCAAGGAGATTGCGTCTCAAAATGGCCCACACGTGATGCACAATTCGTGAGCGGAATCCTTCTGGCTGTGGCTCAAGCTGGCGCATTGCCGACATTGTCAAGGTGACTATCTGGAAGCCGGAACAAACCAAAAACAAACTCAAAAATAATGAATGCCTGATGGGACGCGGGAGCAATCAAGATACAACATAGACATCGAGAAAAGAGAGTTTGATCGTGGTTGCACAACTCTGCACGATGACATTGACAAGCAATGGCTATGGCTATTCATGACATTCCCAGAGTTGCAGGACGTTTGAGGCAGTGTTCATTTGCCCAATTGTCGTCCAGCACCAGCACTGTATCTAGCTGAAATAGCGCAAGCAAGATAAGAAAAGTCACTAGGAGTGTTGACATGACAACATCGTTCTTCAACACCCGATCGTATTCATACGTATCAGTGACAATTGGTTCGCCCTTCGGTGAAATGAATCGACATGTTGCCCCGGAGCAAAATATGAATCTCCCGGCCCATGAACACATGCAATTGGCATGTGGCCGACCAACAGAATGTTAGAGCCTTCCTCCAACACGCCTTCGATGAGGTTGCCCTCACATTCCGAACCACTCCTGAATGTCAATATGGAACTACCAACAGCGTGCCCCGAAAAAGAAGATTCCATGATATTCCAAGGTAACTGGGTCGTTTCCCTGGGAGTCAACCTAATGTTTAGGAGGCTTCTATTGAAAAACGAAAGGTCCTCTTGCCACATGGCACTTTCAGGAGCCTTCCGGTTCCGGGTCCATGAAGGTGCCCACATCCACTGGGAAAGCAACTTCTTCTAGCAGTCCTCATCTTGTTGCCTTTTGTCTAACTTGGGCGCGGGGTTGTGGGAAACCACGCGTTTCCGCACAACACGCTTAAACGCGCAAAATACAGTTTGCAACCACGGCTGAGACCTACTTACCGGTCAGCTTGAACAGCTACTGGTTCAAGAACACCATATCACCTCCCACCCATGAAAGGCCCAGGTGCATCACGTGCTGCCTTGAGCTCTACGCGGGTATCGTTTATAGCTTGATCGTGACCTGGCAGCGGAGATGCCGCAAACGACTGAAATCGTCAGCTATGCAATTCAGTTGGCTGGGGCGCTGCGAGGGAAAGAGCTAAACCTTGCAAGGATTTGTGTGAGCTAAACAGCCAAAAACAGCAAGTCTTTGCTTTAAAAGTCCAACTGTGAGCAAAAAATGGTTGCTGTGACATCTAGCTCCAGCAAGAGCTGGGCCCAGCGCACCTGGCAGGGGCTACACTCTTGTCTGGCAGAGAGCCGCGCACCAACTTTCAATTTGTGCTGGGGATGCTTCCCTGAGAATTGGCCTCGGCACTTGTTGGTGACGTCTGGTGGTTTGAGGGTCTACGACTCTGCCTTTGCATTCTGCGCTTTGATCGGCTCGGCTTTGGGGCCGGTCACTCTGGTGTATTTTCACCAATCCATTTGTTGCTGGCTGCGCTCGTGTTACTCTTGCTGCCGGTTCTGCTGCGTCAACGGTTGGGATATCAGAACGTGCCTCGCTTGTCCACGCCTCGCTGCGCATCTTGCAGTTTCTGACTCTCTTCCATCTCCTTAGAATCAGCGGGAGCCCTGGCTGCAGCAGCCCAAAGTTCGTGAACAGCTGGATCTTACTAACTGGCAAAGTGGACGGGCCCGCTCCACAGTCTCAGGGCCCAACGGCAACCAAATCCCAGACCTTTCGAGGGCTGCATTTCTTGTCCCAACACACAAACACACAACAAACACAGTCAAACAGCGTTCTTATTGGCAATTGTTTTGCGCTGAGGGCTTTTTGCAATCACGGATCACGTTGCTGTTTTTGCGCCCACTCTTTTTCTCCCACAGCCGCAATGATCCTTGCATGGTTTCCCTATTTGGGGCCTATGCCAAATGTGCGTCCATCCCAACGACCAAAAACACAACTGCATCTGGTTTCCTCGCCAAATGGAGGACATGGGTGGCTTCCCCACGCTGCACAGCGTAGGTTCCCTGCTTTTGATTAGACAAAAACTTCTTAGAAAACTCCGAGCCCCGCTTGGTTGCTTGTCGGGAGGCGGGATGCGCTCCTTTCTTGGGGATAGGATCAATACCGGACAATAACGCCAACCAGTATCAAACCAAAAAAGGGTAAAAGGGTCGTAAGGCGAGCAAAGGTTGCTTCGCAGTGAGTGCCAGGCGCAATGACAAGGGCACACTTTTGCGGACCAAAAGGAAAAACGACATCAGCACGGGGTTCAAGGATTTTCGACATCCCCCATTGCGGTCAGAGGTTCACAAAGAAGCAAATAAATCATATCCGTCGACATGACACGCTACGGCTGTGTACCACCCACATCATTCAAGAAAAGATTGTATCGTTCATCCTTGGCTAATCCAGAAGATCAGCCGTACTGGCTACTCCACCCGACCGTCACTGATGTAGTTCCAGAAAGAAAAAAACGGAGAAAAAAAAAGAAGTGCGGTGATCGAGGATAGCATCCCACCGAGAATAGTGAATAATTGAATGTAGCCGTTCACTGACATCATCAGCAATGCAAGCACTGAACAAGGAACACTATAACCAGCACATGATCATCTCGGTGTTTTACCTGAGGTCATCCGCGTATCAAAGGAAACCATGCAAATGTTTGGAAAAAAGACAAAGGCCGGAATACCATGCGTAGGAAGAACACATACAATTTATGAAAAAGCAAACCAAGTCACCACGTGGGAAGGCACAATTCTTCGTGGTAACGTCATAGAGGACCAATGCTGACCACTCACACCGAAAATACGCTTGCCTCATAGAGCAAATCCATATGCAAATCCATGGATGGGATGTGTGGCATTGTGCAGCTTCCAGCGAATCTGATTAAACGGGTTGGCCCGTCCCATTTCTATGTGGATTCAGGGCTTCGGCAGATTCAACTCCTTATCAAAGTCTTCTCTTGTCTCCTAGCTCGACTTTGCCAGCGAACCTGTGAGGTGGGTCAATTTCCTCCCTCGTGTGCCAGTTGACCAATAGCGTGTCTGCATCTTTGGAAGGTCGAGCGCAAATCACAGACCTGAAATTTTCCCCGAAACGCATGTCTTTCCTGTAGAAGGCCACGCAGCGGGAATTGAAATTGAAGAGTTTTGATGCGGCAAAGTCCATCTTTGCGCGCGGTGAGTCGGAAGGGACCCCTGTTCAATGATTCAAGCCTATAGCGCCCTTGCCCCTAGATAGAGTGATCGATTTCTTCGCCCAATGTGATCGGAGGGGCCTTGCTCCTGCCCTGGGTGAGTCGTGAATTGGAAACCTCGTCCCTTGTTCACTTGCGCCAGAGTCCATTGTAGGGCGGTCGTAGTGTTTCCTTCCTGCCCAAGGACTCACTCAAATGCCGGCCGGAACGAAAATAGCGGCCTGCCACGCGCCACATCCATGCACAAGGCCTTTGGTTGACAGTGGTACGATGCGCTCTGACTGTCGTCCTGGTCTTCACCGAAGCATCCGGTTTCCTCATCCGGTAACACGTCATCATCGTGTATTTCCCGCCATTGCTCATGTCAGTATCATTGGCCGCGGTGTCGCCGCTGAAGTTTTCTTCGGTGAATCGCTTCGCATTCTCCGGCGCTTCTCTGGCGCCATGTGCTTAGTGGTGAATACAAAATCAGATCTGCCGCTTGGCCGCGGGGATTGCACATCATTGCAATGATTTCGCGCGCCTTTGATGAGTTGATGAGGTTATTCTGTTCGTGCCGTAGTTCTGCGTGACGAGTAACATCCAATGATATGTCCTTGGCATCATCTGGGGCATTTCCTCCTCATTGCGTGAAGCGCTATTGAAAGTCTGATGTCAACCCCCCGCGTTCACCGTCGGAGTGGAGAGGCCATGCCTATCAAGGTTGGGGTTGGGCTAGAACGATGCGTTGACCCATGCATACCAAGCATCAACATCTTCAACATCTCGGTCTTTTGAGCAGATTTTCATGGCCAACGTCATTCTCCAGTTATCGGGTCGTGTAGCTTCGGGCCATGGTGGTGCAATGTCCTTTTTGGCGTGCTTCCTTGATATTCGCGTCCTCGCCGTCCTAGCACGATCATCCCGGCCTCGGCTTCTCACCGTTCGCTTGCTCCTCTTGCTGTTCTTCTTCGTCATCGTCGTCTCCGTCACCGTCATCTTCGGGAGGATCATCTGGAAGACCTCCGCCAGTAGCTGTGAGACTTGTTTATTCTTGCTGCTAGTCTTGCACCACCAGCATAACAGCAAACATCGACATAGCATTCCTGGGATGGATCCAACCACTCCATGACCAGGAAACCATGTGCGTCCTGACCAAAACTACTGTCACCCTTCTGCTGGAACCAGTCTACGCGGGTTGGCTAATGCTATTTGACAAGAGCTTTCGCCTCTTAGTAGCTCTTGTCCACGACGATTGGTTCTCTTCCTTGTTCCCGCGTCATCCTTCAGCTCCTTCAGCTCCTTATTAGACAATGTGCTCCCCGGCAATTGCAGGGCTATTCCTCAGCTCTTCATTCTCTGTTTCCAGCTCGTAACAGGTTTGTTCCACAAGGACTGGTTCTGCCCTTGATTTCACTGCGGCTCTCATCAAGTTTTTGACGATATGCTGATGCCTCCTCCTGAATTCTCTTCAGCTAAACTTCTAGGTCAGCATTGAGCTCCGTTTGGCTCTCAACTCTGGCGCGTTCACGGTCAGCCTGTACTATGGCTTCCCCGTTGGCATCAATGCAATTGTACTCCTTTGCCGCTACTTTCGCCTTATGAGCTTCTTGATGAGCGTAGGAAGCCTCGTTCGCCTTCTCGAAAGCGTGTCGGGTGATTCAGTGGGACTCGACGTTGGCGGACATTGCGTATTGTGTTCTTCCAATCATTTTCGTAGTCCGGCCGCTGTCTGTTCGTCGTAGCTTTTTTCGATCTTCCCCTTGGCTTCCATATTTCGTAGAGCGCCCCCCGGCCTTGATAAATGGAAAGATGCTCGGCAATCTACCTCCGCGGCGTATCTTCGAGATTGTCTCGTGGCTTCTTCCAGCAGAAGCATCCCATGGATGTTCTTCATTGTCCGTGTCAACTCTTCAATCTCTTTTTTTGTACTCAGTGTGGTCCTCGCTTCCTCACTTCTCTCGGAATACAACTTCGTGAGGTGAGCCGCCTGCGTTTCAGAGAACCTATATGAGCCACTCGGTCTTAAGGGCAAGCTTGCGACTTCGCTCAAGCTCTGCGATTTCATTTCTCTCAAGCTTTCGTGTGAGGCGACGGCTCTCCTGGCGGTGGATGGTACGACCGTTAGTAGGTGAGCTCTTCACACCTTTCTTTCTCGCGCTTGTAGATGGGGATCTCAATTGATTTCTTTGCAGCTTGGCTGTTCTCCAAATCTCATGCCCTCTTCATTCCATGATATGATGAAATCGATCGATCTTGACTATGCACTGAGCTTGCACTCACAACCAGCAGGAGCATTAGCAATTTCTGGCACAGCCATCAAGTTGCCAATGATGAATCGTGATGAAATGTGGCAGCGCTTGCATCCTCTGAAATATCCATTGCGCCATTTGGTTGTCGTGGTAGTTGATGAGCAATTCACCACGCGTCCTCGATACTGCAGAGCCTCCTCAGGAGGCGGGAGAAGTGCAACGTAGTACCTGCAATGAACAGGATGCAGATCACCTCTGCCATCTTGGGGTTTGGGCGCCAACCAGTATCAAACCAGGAATTGGTAAAAGGGCCGTAAAGCGATTAAAGGTTGCACTCGTTTGCTCAGCAGGACTCGCAGTGGTTCCCTCAACACGTGGCCGTAAAGTGGCGCAGGCGTTATGGCATAGAGAGAGAGGTTGTTTCCGTCGTGTTACATCTAACTGTGTGATTCTTGGCCCAAAGCATGAGTCCCAGACGCAATGAAAAGGGACACTTTTGGACCGAAAGAGAAACAAAGGTTGGCCGTGGTCTTCAGAATTTGACCGTGAATCGGCACGGGGCCCACAGCTTGAAGTAGTGATCCCTCATCTCCTCCGAGATTGATCGGTAGCCGGACGCCCTACAACTGTGGACGTTATGAGAAACTAGAATTAAGGAGGAACGTTTTGAACAAACCCAAAAAAGGCACATGCCTGTTGATTCACTACTGAGCCAAGTACAGGACCCATGGCGGCCATGAACTTGAATCCCCAACCCACTCGATGTTCACGGTCGCTTTAAGGCGTTCGCTTTGGGAAGCCCCAAGGGTTGCGAGCCGGGCATCGAAGGCCATGTTGGACTTGTGCTGCGCCCGCTCCCCAGCCGCTCGAAGTTCCATGGTGTTTCGGTCGTTCTCCGCTGTCTCCTTGGCCTTGAGCGCCACCTGCAGCTCCTGACGCAGAGCGCCTTCTGACACAACCAAATGAAAAAGAATAGAAAGACACAGCCTGATAGAAGCCACACACCTATCTGTGTGTGTCTCTGCCGATCCACTTTTTCCTCCATTCACCTATTATCTACGTTATCTACCAGTAGAGCCAGCGAAGCCGCTGGACGGAAGTTTCTAAAGCGAGAAGAGAGAGTGCCCATAGGAAGAGCTTGACTTAATTGTTGTTGGTTGCGCTCTTTCTTTGTCTCTTTCTTTTTCTTTCTGTATCTGTCTTTCCTTATTTCTTTCTTTCTTTCGTTCGTTATTTCTTTCTTTTTTTTCTTTCGTTCTTGCTTTCTTTCTTTCTTTCTTTCTTTCTTTCTCTATCTCTTTATTTGTCATTTTCTTTCTTTCTTCCTTTCTTTCTTAATTCCTTCTTTCATTATTTATTTCTTTCTCTTTATCTTTCTCTTAATTTCTTCTTTCTTTCTATCTTTCTTTTTCTTTCGTTCTTTCGTTCTTTCCTTCTTTCTTTCCTTTCTTTCTTTTCTTTCTTTCTTTCTTTCTTTCTTTGTATTTATCTTTCTGTTTCTCTTTCTCTCTCTCTCTCGCTTTCCATTTGATCCATCTATCTATCGATCTATCTATATATATATATACATATCTATCCATCACCAGACCTTGCGAAAGTGCTGCGCCTGCCACGACATCTGTACTCGGCTTTGCGAAAATCCTGCGCCTGCCACGAAATCTGTACTTGACCTTGCACGGGAACAAAAAGCTGCGCCTGCCACGAATCAATCTGTACCTTAGGTTGCCAAAGAGCTGCGCCTGCTGCAAAAAAAGACCTCCGAGAAGCCTCCGAAAACGTTTGCGCGGCCGTGCCAGTGGGCAACATTCCGCCCCCGTGGCGAGACCGTGGCGAGACCGTGGCGAACCCGTGGCGAACCCGCACGCAGAACAGAGGTACACTTCGCGAAGGTGCTGCGCCTGCCACGAAATCTGCACTTGACCTTCCGAAAGTGCTGCGCCTGCCACGAAACTCACGTCCATTCCAATGCGATTTGCACTCGGCTGCGCCTGTCACGAGTTCTGAGACCATCGGGTACTACATGCTGCGCCTGCCACGACATCTACCTCAGGTTGCCAAAAGTGCTGCGCCTGCCACACGGTTTACATGTCCGATCCATATGCACGCGCAGGCCTTTGGGGATCTTCCCAGACCGCGGCGAACCCGCGGCGAACCCGTGCGCTGAACAGCGGTAGCCTTCGCAACCTCGCCCAACGCAAAATGCTGCGCCTACCACACAATTTATTTCCTTCTCCATCTCCTTGTTTGTATTTCTTCTCAGCATTTCTTGCTTACTTTCTTTCTTTCTTTGCACGACTCTGCTGTTTCAACTTTTCGTATTACGGAAGTTTTCCAACTAAACTTCCTTTGGTGAAGGGTACAGATGGAACTGAAGCACGGTGCGATTGGGGAGGAAACTTCAAAAAAAGCTTCATCCAACGAGAATAAGCTAGCAGGCTATACATGTTGATTGTTTAAGTTGTGACATTTAAAGGTAATCGAAAACTTGGAAGCTGGTGAGAAATTGAGCACACAAGCGAACAAGGTGGTTGAGGCTGGAGGTGAAGATTGAAAATGTTGAGGCTCACCCTACGACAACACAGCAAAGAATGTAAATGCTCAATATTGAAAGTCATGCCAATTAAAAGCAAGATCTACCATCTCAAGAACTTGGAAACTACAACAAATCGCTCATCAGACCGTAAAAGTAGACTCTTGGTAGAAATGAAGCGAAATGGAAAGTAGAACAGTCGGGTTGGGGATGAAAATGGAAACTGCCAAGGGACATCCAACCACAACACAGCAACTAAAATGCAAGCTTTAAAAACATATGTGGTAAATCCTTAGTTTTCTTGGTAAAATGTATAATCTCGAGAATGTGGAAACAGCAAAAAAGCTTACGAGAGACCCTCGAGCTAATGGCGCGCCACCCGCAAAGAAACATTTTGCGAGAGCTCCCCCTTGTATTGAACCTCTATGTTGTCAGGAGGTACGAAAGCTAAGAATTGAAGCACAGAAGGGGCTAAAGCGGTTTTGTTTGGGGCTGAAGCTTGGACAGTCAAGGTGCATCCAACAACGACAGGGCAAACAAAGGGCAAATTTCCAATGATGAAAGTCAGCAACATTTGGAGGGGACATGCATCATCGCGCGAATGTGGAAACACCACCAATCGCGCATGACAGCCTCAAACTGACATGTGGCGCGAAGCCCAGACAAAAAGAGCTGCGAGTTCCCCCTGACATTGAGCCACATTGTTCGTAGAAAACATGACAGATAGAAATGTACAAGGGAGCAAGCGGTTGGGGTTGGGGATGAACGTGACAATGTTGAATGCGCAGTCAAGATGACACAGCCAAAATTGGAAAGTCAGATGCAGCAGGAACATCTGCCATGCTGGAAACTGAATTGTGGTTTGAAACCCGCACAAAATGCGAGAGTTGTCCATTTCGCTGAGCCCCCGACCCGAGGGAAGCGGCAACATGTTGGTTCTATAGCCATGAAGCACAACATGTAGAACGCCCGAGCTACACCTGGCCATAGACCCAATGTTGGTAGGAAGTATGAAGGTCCGAAATCGAGTTGAAACAAATATAAGGAAGTGAAGCACCTGGAGATGGGGGCTGAAGATTGAATGGCGCCGTCCAATGACAATTGAACGTCCCGAGGCAAGGTATTGGTGCTAAATACCAGCCTTCAAACGCAAGAGCAAAACAGGAATTGAGCCATGTCGTGGGAGGATCGGGGAGCAAACCAGACTCCAAAAGAAGAGCGGTGCACAAAAAGGAGCCGGACGGCCGGGAGCCACCAAGCCTCAAGACTCCATCGAGGCGGGCAAACAGGGTCAGGGCGCTGGGATCCTATATTTTGAATGTTTGTAATGTGTATATATGTAGATAAATATATATATATATATATGTGATTCGGGCACGAGCCTGTGCCCAGGCAATGGGTAAGTTGGGGTAAACAAGCCACAAAAGAAAGGTTCCCCAAAAGCAAACCAATCCCCGGTCCCAAAGATCAGGGTTTCCCACACACCGGAGAGCAACAACCAAAGGAAAACAAACCAAACAAGAAAAGGGTTAACCCGCAACCTTGGTCGACAACAGGCCGCACGACTGGTCCCTACCAACCTGGCGGCGGCCCGAGGTCTCTTTCTCCCCCGAGATGCCGTCGGTCGACGCAGGGGTTCGGCGACGCCCATTCGAGGCGCGACGGAACCCAAAATCTTGAGCCAAAACACCCCAGGTCGGTCACTAACGCGACGTCCCTGATGATGATATGAACCATGGCTAATCACACCCCCCTCACGAGGAGCCCGTCATATGACGGGTGGAGCGTGCCATTTACTGATAGGATTTAACTGCTCGCATGAGTCCGCAAACAGCTGGACACTACCGCCGTCAGCGGTGGAGCAAACCCACAAAGGCAGTTGCGCGACATCCCGGGCATTAAATTCCCGCCACCACCCCGGATTAATCGGGGTAACGCTGTCCAACATACCTTGTGGAAAGGTCCACATGACGACACTAGGTCACAACTGTTCGCATCAACAATGCAAGAAGTTTAATTCTTATCAGAAGCCATGAAATAAAAGATAACGTATGTCCATTAGTACCCTCGCCTAACGGCAAGAGGTACTCCTGACCATGCGTACCTGAATAAAAATGCTTGAATTCAGCAAACCCGGGAGTAACCCCCCATCAGTTTGCTTTCCCTCTCCCTCACACTGCTCCCTGATGAACACGTCCAGCAGCCCAGCAGCGGTATGGGAGAGACATGACCTCCGCGCCTCAGCGGTCCGGGAGGAACATCACCACCTCCGCGCCGCGCCGACCATTGGAGAATGGACGCAAGCCTACCGGCCGCAATCCCCGTGACTTAGCCTATCGGCTATCATCACGTCTCCTCCGGTCACGTCCGCCCCGCGTGCGGTCTCTATCACGATCCCTTTCGGATCTCCTGCGATCATCTCGCCTTCGATCTCGCTCCCGATCGAGTGAATCATCATCACGACGATCACGAGCATCGTCCCTCCTCCGGTCGCGATCATCCTCGCGCCGCGGACGGTATCTGCGCCTTCTCGATTCTCTGGAATCCCTGGTGTCCACGGTCCTAACGGACCTTCGAGAAGGAGTGCGGGAAACATCCGATTCCCTACGTCTTCTTCCAGAGCGAGAGTTCGTCACGATCTGGTTGAGAGCCTCCAGTGCTGACGCGTCCTCACCATTTCTAATGAAATCCTTGACTTGCTTGTTCAGCACTCTGTTGGTGGAGACCGCCAAGAGAGCGTCCACCACCGAACTCTCAGGCAGCACCAGGAAGTGACCCTCCACCGGGCTCGCCGCGGCCCGCTCAGCAGACTGCAGCCGGATCTCCCCGCCTTCAGGCTTCTTTGCCATCGCCTTGGAGGCCGTCAAAGGCGCTACCGCATCCTTTGCCGAAGATCTGCCAAGCGCGGAGTGAAGATCATCCCCGCTAGCGTCTCTCGCTGCCGCACCTGGTCTGCTGTCGACGTCGCCAGGCCTCGTGGACGCCTCCCGCTTCGTCGACTCCTTCGCAGCCTCGTCGGGATCCCAACGGGATTTCCTGTCTCTCTTCTGCCCTTCGGCCGACCCGCGGCTACCGCCGGGAGCGTCACCTCCGCCTGTCTTCTCCTTCTTGACCTCAACCTTCGGTTCGGCCTGCTTCGTCTCCTTAGCCACAGCTTTTGGAGCCGGAGCACCCTTCGCCTCAGATGCTGAAGCAGCCTTCCCTCTCGGCTCGGCCTTAGGAACCGGGGTCATTTTAGCCTTAGCACTCGGCCTGGCCCCTTCAACCACCATCTCGGCCCAAGCCTTCTTCGGCTGAGCTGCTGCTGTATCAACCTCCATTGGAGCAGGTCCAGCATCATCCTTCGCCTTTGGGACAGATGGGCTACCGCCCTTACCAGATCCTTTACCTGGCACTTCACCTGAT